CCCCCCCCCCGATGAACCGACGCACCACTGGACCGGTCGGTGCCTCGATGCTGTATTTGGGGTGTATGTACACCGCAGAACAAACAAATAAATTAATAAATAAATAAATAAATAAATAAAAAGAAATAAAAAAGGATTTAAATGTTTTACTTGTTTATTTATTTATATGTGTATCGTCGTTTCTTATTCACGGACTGACTTGTTTCGTTTTCTTTTATTTTAATTTATTTTTTGTTGTTTCAGTATTTTTGTTTTTTTTCTTTTTTTTTTGTTTGTGTATAGCCCCTGCGCAATGCTCTCCTTCTGAGAGAGCAGTCTGGCGAGGAGGATATGGAGCAGCAGATGAAGCAGCAGCAGCAGTAGCAGCAGCAGCACCAGCAGCAGCAGCAGCAGCAGCAGCAGCAGCAGCAGTAGCAGCAGCAGCAGAAGCTCTCCGTCACTCACGATCAGAAGAGCTAGCAGCAGATAAAGACGATTCAACTCTCCCTACAATTGACGCAAGAAGTAAGCCAAGCATATATCTTTTTTTTTTATATATTTTATTTTTTTATTGTTTTTATTTTATTTATTTTTATTTTTTTTTTGTTTTTTTAGGGGCGCTGATGCCGAAGGCGTTGATGCTGAGCAGTGCGTGGAGTTCTATGTTATCTCCTGATAGTGTAGTTGCAGCAGAAGAAAAAAATAAAAATAATAATATAAATAAAAATAAAAATAAAAATATAAATAATAAAACAGATTATAATGTAAATTATAAAGAGTTTATGGAAAGTAATAAAAAAGAAGAAAAAGAAAAAACACAAAAAAAAGAGATCCATGAAAAAGAAGAAAACACAACAGAAATAAAAGAAAAAGAAAAAGAAAAAAATACACAAAAAGAAAAAACAAAAGAAGAAGAAACAGAAAAAGAAAAAGAAACAGAACAAGAAGAAACAGAAGAAGAAGAAGAAGAAGAAAAAGAAACAGAAGAAGAGACAGAAGAAGAAGAAGAAGAAGAGACAGAAGAAGAAGAAACAGAAAAAGAAAAAGAAAAAGAAAAAGAAACAGAAAAAGGAGAAAAAGAAGAAGAGACAGAAGAAAGAGAAAAAGAAGAAAAAGAAAAAGAAACAGGAAGGGAGGAGAAGGAAGAAGAAGAAAGAAAACAAAACCAAACGCAAAAAGAAAACGAAAAAGAAAAACAAAAAAAACAAAAAGAAATAACAAATGAAAAAGAAAAAGAAGAAAAAGAAGAAAAAGAAAAAGAAAAAAAAGAAAAAGAAAAAGAAATAAAACAAAAAAAAGAAAAAAGAGAAGAAGAAGGAGTGTATCGTCTTCATCTACGGCGGTGCTCGCGTTGACCCCCCTAGTTGTATTTTATTTATTTATTTATTTTTATTTATTTTTATTTATTTTTATTTATTTTTTTATTTTTTATTTATTTATTTTTATTATTAGTATAAATAAATATAAAGTGATTAGTTTATGTATTCATATAAATATATTAAATATAAATAAATAGAATTGATTATAAATAAATAAAATAAATAAAGTAAAATATAAATAAATAAAATATAAATAAATAAAATATAAATAAATAAAATGTAAATATAAATAAATAAATTAATACTTGTTTTGTTGTTTTGTTT